GTTAACAGTAAATGCTGTTTTATTATGTCGATATTCCACACTAAAAAATGTGAGAGTCAGGGAATTTGGACAAAGTTGGTCAGGGAAAGTCAGGGAATTCAAAACAAAAATTTGAGTAGGAACCCTGAATATTTCAAGAGAGAAAATGCTTCTGATTTTTTCCAATGCCTACTTGAAAATGCCACTGATTCCATATTTTTTTTTTTTTAATTCTACATTAATTACTGAACTATTGAGTATGATGTTAATCTTACTTAGATAGTTAAGGAGAAATTAGATGGTAGTATTTCAAAAAATATCTAAGTTTGCATGCTTTTCTAACTTGGGTTATTAAAATTTTTATTTGTTAATTAAGAGAAAGATTGACATTACAATCTGTAAAAACATTATAAAACAGAAAACAAGTTTGTTGAAATTACATGCTTTATTTGAACACATGCTTTCCTTGCCATGAGATCTATGATTATATACTCTGCATTTTTGAACATTTTACAATTTCATTGGTTAAAATTCTATACTGTGTTGCTCGCACAGATAACCTGAATGTGTATAATCAATCTAGTAGTATAGTGACATCATCAACGAAGACAAGGTTGTTAAAAGTGATCAGAATCGCCACTGTTTCTGAGAGACGAATTTCTTCTCTTGTTTTGACATCATTTGTCATTGAAAGAAGAGACAAGAGATAAGTGACCAGAATATGGCCTCATGTTTGATGATAATCTTTCAACTTGTCTAATCTATTTTTGAGGGCTTTGAGAAACTAGATTCAATTAACATTTTTCTGCAAAATCCCTAATGAAGTGAGAGTGTCTTCCCACTTTTTATTTGGTGCTAAACACTACTAATCTCTTGAACATGTTTTAACCAATGTAGGAATGCATTATCTATCACCATTTTGAAGTGAGAATTCATATTATCTTCCAGATATGAGTATAGCATTACCAAATAAAACTTTTTGAGTTACACTTTCATATTCTGTAAGCCATTTTATTTAGTTGTGTTTGGTTGGAAAATTGTAAGATGTGGAAACCCAGCAAATAATTTAGAATCACCTTTGCATTTTACATCTACATTTTTATTCAGCATGTGATTTTTCCATGTAATCATTTGCAAATTTATTTTTTCTCCACTGTTGAACTGAATTTAGTGCTTTTTATTATAAACTTCATGAAATCAGTTCTTAATTCCATTCATAAAAATTTTCAGTTAAATATTTTGTTAAAAAATGTCTTTTTCAAGTGGAAAGTATAAAACAAGATAAATATTATAATTTAAAATTTTAGAATGAATATGTAATGCTAGTTCAACTCAAAGTTTTTGTTATTTACACATACTGAAAAAGTTAAAAAACTAGATTGGTTTGATGAAAAAGTCTCAAATTAGAAGTGTGTAAAGAAAATAATGATGGATATTTATGTACTATTTTCAATATTCTATCGGCTGTATTAATTTGACCCAATTGTTATTGTCTTTATAAATATTCTAAAACCAACACTAAAACTTTATTAATTCTTTTTATCTCTATGTCCTTACTGTTTTACTTTTTTGTTTCTATATTGTATATTTGGACCTTATTTGCTAATAGGACTTATTATACTGGTATAATTTCTGATTAGCAAAGAGAGGAAAATCTTAGTCAAAGCAAAATATTTTTATTTTCATCTGTTTTGACTTTTGACTAAGATTTCCTCTCTTTGCTAATCAGAAACTACAGCAGTATAATAAGTTATATTAATAAACAAGGTCCAAGTAGATAATATATGGCCCACCAGTGGCCAAGTGGTCTTCGTTCCCTGAACACTGGGAGTTCAGTTGTGGGTTTAAGCCTCTCTCTTGGATGGGCTGGCGACATGGAGTTTTCCAGGTTTTCTCCACATCTGTAACACCTAAATAGGGGCCAGTTTCCCTTAAAAAGACCTCCCAGAAGGCATTCTCCTATGCAGATTGCCCAAGTGTTGCATTGCCATAAACAAACAAACAGATAATATAGAAACAAAAAACTAAAACTTTGTTTCATTATTGCCATTATGCCATTAATTAAATATCCAATGATTTCTTGAATATCCATCTCAAAAATCTACTTTGCCATTACAGAATTGATACTTGATTATTGATAGTTCAAATGTAACATATAGTAGTAATTAAATTAACTGAACTGAACAATTACATCCTTCTATGATGTAAGAAGGATAGTTTTAGTTCAGTTCAGTTAATTTAATTAAGATGAAGGAAAAACTTTTTGTTTTAAATGAAAAATTACATCATAAGCAGTAGTTTTTATTTTCTGATTTATTATTGAATAATTGTCATTATTAGTATATGTATAAAATATTTTATTTTTAAAACAGCTTGATTTTTATTAATTACAGGCTCAATTATACAAACAAGACTTTGAGGATGAATCTAAAGCAAAAGTAAAGGCTTTAAAGGAAATAGAAAACTTAAAGGCTGATTTACAAATAATGTATACTGCTAAGGAGAAGTTATCAGAAGAATTGAATAAAGTTTCACATTCAGGGAGACATCGCAGGTAATTAAATTAAATATATATAATTTATAAATAAATAAAAAGTAAAATAGTTTATTTATACAAAGTCTAAATTTTATTTTGCAGTTGTGATTTTGTAATTATAAAAAAAGAAAAATGGTTATACAGTAGAGCATCGATTATCCGAATCAATTGGGGACTGGGGTTGTTCAGAAGATCGATGTTTCAGATAACCAATTATGTACGAAAAAATATACTGTATTAATTTATCCCATCTTGACATTTTTCTCCGTTGCGTGTCACTTCGCATTGAATTTTCGTCGATATTAAACCTAACGAAGACTATTATATCGTTAAAAATTATTTTTTTATTTTGTATGAACAAAATAAATATATTGAAAAATATAAAAACAATAAAAAATTATACTTCAGAAGTTAATTTAGTATCAAAAACGTAAAATATTTGAGTAGCCCAAGACATAGCCAAAGATTGCAGCGCCACAGCACTGGCGAAAATTTAAATTTGCCGACTGGAATTCTTTCGGATGATTGACTTTTGGATAATCGACGCTTTACTGTATAATCTTTAGTGTCTTCTATATGGTGCATGCTTTAATTTTGTTTAAATTAGTGATAATTATTTCGTATTCATTTTGAAAGAAAATAAGATTTTTTTTTATAAGTGTGAAGTCTATACATTTTTGTTTTTTTCTTGCTTTATAATCTTTGGTAAGAGATTAAGTAATGATGTATTAGTTTAGTTACTTTTGAATATTATTAAGGACCTGTTGATCTCAATAAATATACAGACTATTGAAGAATTTATTTATGTGTATTCTTAAATAATGTTGCTGTTAATTATACTAAAATATATAACTGTAATGTTTCACTGATTTGTAAAAACATTTATTCTACAGAATCAGCAGAATCATAAGGAGAATTTATTATACTTATTTTATTTATAAATCAAGTTATTAAATTAGCAATAGAATCTTTATTGAATGTCAAATTTCTTAATTTTGTGTATTGTTTTATTAGTCTCTTACATACTTTGCTGAATAAACGGATCTAAAATATCAATGCTGCTTCAAGCTGTGTGTGTCTTTTATATATCAGTTTTTGATGATTTTTACTAATGTATGCATATTTTTTTCATTGAGTTTCTTTGGTATTCATAGCTATTGCAGATCAGGCAGAGCAAATCAGAAAAGATAAAAATAAATTCTAATAATCTCACTACTAATGGAATTTGCAAATTTACTCTTTACTTTTATACTTATTGAATCCATGTTTAAAAACTAATTAGTTTTTTTTAATCATTATTCTTTTTGTGGAGTTAATGTTCCATTACATTATCATCAAAGAATGCTGCTTTTTCTCCTTGTAATGGGTCAGGTTTTTCATGCAAGGTGCCATCTGAGCAGACTTTTGTTCACAGTCAAATGTTTTGGTACCCATTGTGCCATACTCCCAAGCAGAATATTGTGTACTGTTCCATAAGAAACACCCATTTTATCTTCAATGAATGAAATTATCACTTCCTGATCTTGTTTCACAAATGCATTCACACTTGCAATGTTTGTTGTGGAATTTTGGCACCTATCAGAACAAGGTGCACCCTCCAAATTTTCTTTGTCTTCTACAAAGAATTCATTCCATCTCTGCACACTTCTCTCTCTCTCATACAGTTCTTGTCATAGACATGTTTTATTTGTTGATAAATTTGGACACCAATTTTTCCTTCAGTTAATAAGAAAGTAGACTTGATATTTGCAGCTGACATTTCATCTTTAATCATCTGTCTGGGAGGTGCTGTGCTGTCAACAACCCTGATGTTGGTTTAAAATTTAGGAAAAAGTCTGCATTATGTAATGTGTACCTTAAAACACAATTAAAAGTTTAGGAATATAAAAGTGATATCTAGAAAAAAAACACCAAATACAAAATTAATAGACTTGGTTATTTTATATGATTTTGACTGAGATTAGTCCTGGCACATTCAGAAAACATATATGCTGATCTAGGACTAGGATGGCTATATACCATGTATGTGATGTAAGTAAATTACATATTAGTCTAGATGAAAGTGACAATGCTGTTTATAAGGAAATATAAAGAAAAAGAAAATTTATTAGTCGGAAAAATTTTACATTATGACCAATATATATACTACAGTAGAAAGAAACTTGATAATTTGTCATCTTTAAAAGGTGTTATTTTAGACAGAAATAACAAACTTCTATTAACAGTAGTTGGGATAGCTAAGAAACCAAGAACTCTAAAATGTTTAATTGAAAGTTATTGCCCATTTATTATTAGCCCAAAAAATTGCATGGATGGATCAAGAAATTTTTACAGCCTAGTTTTGTAATGTATTTGTTGTTCAGGTGAAATTGTATGTTAAATATAAAAATTTTCCAGAAAAAGCACTTTGAATTATGGACAATGCTCCAGCACATTCATTGAATGACTTAGAAGTTGATTAAGATATAAAATACATCTTTCTTTCTCCTAACACGACCTCTCCAATTTAGCTGATGGATCAGTGAGTGATTGAAAATTTGACACATCCCTATCAGAAAATATTTGTTCAATATTTTATTTCTTGTGATATGGATACAAATTTGGATGAATTTTGGAAACAATATACTATTAAACATGCAATTTTCAACATCATCAAAGCATGGAATGTTCCAAATGAAACATTGTCTCAAAATTGGAACAAAATTTTAACAAAAAAAAAACAACAATAAAATATATAATATTCTAGTATTACTTGTGTTTTAGTATGTCTTGATAAACGTATACATAAATACCAAAATTTAAACTGAGGTCTAGTCTTTTCATTAGAAAAGTGTTAGATGGATTGTTTATAATAAAATTTTTAATTGATTTTAAAATCAACTTTTGTGATCTTTTTTATTTTTTTAGGCGGCATGATCACGAGAAAAGAACAAATACAGATGAAGAAAAAACATTAAATGAAAATTCTGTAAATATTTTTATTTGTTTTTATCTTATTTATTTTAAATAAACTATTTCTGTAGTAACTGTTTTTTTCTTCTTTCAGAATAAATATGAGTGTCCTAAATGCAACATGGTATTTACAGAATTTCAGCCATTAAGTAATCACGTGGAGATGTGTATTACAGATAACCTTTTTGATTATCCATAGCTTTATCAGTTCACTATTAATATTTAATAATTAAAAAAAATGTTAAAAAGTAGGTTATAATATTTTGTTATTAACTGATAGTATTTGTAGTTGCAATGCAAAATAGAGAAAATTCAACTTTGCATTATAACTACAAGAAATAGTTACAAATCAACAAAGAATGCATTAATGTGAAATCATTAGAATCAATGATAAATGCTATTAATTAATTTTGTTTTAAAATTTTTTTAGAATTTGTTACTTAAACACAAGTCAAGAAATGTTTAAGCTGTGAATTGGCAAAAGTCAGTCTAAAGAAAGTTTTTTTTTAAAAATATTCTAAAAGAAACTGATTATAAAATTGAATACTTAATAATTGTATGCGTTAAACTTTTAGTCTCTTACATACTTTGCTGAATAAACGGATCTAAAATATCAATGCTGCTTCAAGCTGTGTGTGTCTTTTATATATCAGTTTTTGATGATTTTTACTAATGTATGCATATTTTTTTCATTGAGTTTCTTTGGTATTCATAGCTATTGCAGATCAGGCAGAGCAAATCAGAAAAGATAAAAATAAATTCTAATAATCTCACTACTAATGGAATTTGCAAATTTACTCTTTACTTTTATACTTATTGAATCCATGTTTAAAAACTAATTAGTTTTTTTTAATCATTATTCTTTTTGTGGAGTTAATGTTCCATTACATTATCATCAAAGAATGCTGCTTTTTCTCCTTGTAATGGGTCAGGTTTTTCATGCAAGGTGCCATCTGAGCAGACTTTTGTTCACAGTCAAATGTTTTGGTACCCATTGTGCCATACTCCCAAGCAGAATATTGTGTACTGTTCCATAAGAAACACCCATTTTATCTTCAATGAATGAAATTATCACTTCCTGATCTTGTTTCACAAATGCATTCACACTTGCAATGTTTGTTGTGGAATTTTGGCACCTATCAGAACAAGGTGCACCCTCCAAATTTTCTTTGTCTTCTACAAAGAATTCATTCCATCTCTGCACACTTCTCTCTCTCTCATACAGTTCTTGTCATAGACATGTTTTATTTGTTGATAAATTTGGACACCAATTTTTCCTTCAGTTAATAAGAAAGTAGACTTGATATTTGCAGCTGACATTTCATCTTTAATCATCTGTCTGGGAGGTGCTGTGCTGTCAACAACCCTGATGTTGGTTTAAAATTTAGGAAAAAGTCTGCATTATGTAATGTGTACCTTAAAACACAATTAAAAGTTTAGGAATATAAAAGTGATATCTAGAAAAAAAACACCAAATACAAAATTAATAGACTTGGTTATTTTATATGATTTTGACTGAGATTAGTCCTGGCACATTCAGAAAACATATATGCTGATCTAGGACTAGGATGGCTATATACCATGTATGTGATGTAAGTAAATTACATATTAGTCTAGATGAAAGTGACAATGCTGTTTATAAGGAAATATAAAGAAAAAGAAAATTTATTAGTCGGAAAAATTTTACATTATGACCAATATATATACTACAGTAGAAAGAAACTTGATAATTTGTCATCTTTAAAAGGTGTTATTTTAGACAGAAATAACANTTATGTATTTACTTACAAGCATTCAGATTTTTGAAATACAAAAAAAAATTATAATTTTTAAATAATGTTTTCTCACTATTTATTTCAGAAGTTTGTACATGTATGTTAAATAACAATGTAACTACTATTCTATCATTTTAAGAAATTATTTTTAAAGTAGAATACTTTTAAAAATAATTTATTAAAATGCAGAATGATGCAAAATGTATAATATATACAGGCATGGGCTCACTTTTTATTATGTGGTCAGCTATAAGTCATGTAATATGATCTGTGTGTGTGTTTGTGTGCCATTTAATTGAATGTACACACAAATTCATTTCTTTACTCATGGCAAATGAATGTTAACACATTTGTTGTGTGCACTCACACATTTCAAGAATATCCTTTTGAGATGTCTGTTTGGTATGGAAACTTTTGAATCACTCTGTAAGAACACTAATGAACACAAGTTGATTTCCATAAATCTATAAATGAGAAACTCTTGACATTATATACTATATCCTATTTACATTTCAAAAAGTTATAAAAAATTAAATAATTCAAAAAGTTATAAAAAGTGAAATATAAAAGCATAATTCACGTTGTATAATGCAAAATCAAAAAAATATATTTTAATATAAGAAATATAAGATAATGATGTGTAATATAATATGTAGTATTCTCATATTCTCTTGTAATATAAAAATTATTGTTTGCTAAATAAATATTATATTATAAACTTCACTTTTTGTATCATTCTGAAAAAAAGAAATAAATAAAAGTTTCATGACAAAATTAATACACACAATTAAGACATTTGTCTATTTCTTGAAATACATAAATTTTAATTGGCCAGATTGTCATATAATAAATATTTATCTGTTGCTTTGTGAGCGGTCCACATTTAAGGATTCTTACAAATTTTCACAAACAATATGGATCTGACTTCATTTTTCCTTTTTACGTTGATAGATGTATACTATTATAAACATATTTCAAACTAAGTAAAAAATGTTTATGTATTTACTTACTTAATTTTAATATTGGTAGGTCTTTTAAATTTAATTTTCTAGAAGTTTATACAGTTCGTTAATAAACCGTAAAATACGTAACTCAATTAAATTTTTAAAAATAGAAAAATACTCATAAACATGTTATATGGCTTATTTCGGTCATCACTTAAGTTTTCTTTGTAAAAGTTTACACTAGGCTAGAAAATAATCTCCAGAAATATCTTTGAGATTTTTCTGATTTATGATAAATTAATTTTATGATTTTATATAAAGAAAAATGGAATTTTTGAAATTTGCCTGGAAATGTTTACTAAATTAGTATGATTATTTTGTAATGTAATTTCTGGTCTGTTGTTATCCTTTGGAAGATACGAGATAGATTTATACTCGTTCCTTTACAATTATATGCAACGTGATCCAAATCTGTTAGTAATATCTATCATCAGTAAGAATGAACCAACCTAAGTTTAGTGTCTTTGTTAAAGTAGTCTAACTTAAATATTTTATGAAATGTTTTGCTATCGTAAGATTAATCTATCATAAAATTGGAATGGCCAGATGTCCTAACGTAAATAAATAACTTTTGTTACATGTAATGAATAGTCTTTTCTTATAAAGAAAAACCGTCCATTCTCTACCAATGTAAAACTCGGGTAATATATTTTCACAATGTTAAATCGTTGGGCAAAATAAAAGCACATTTTCTATCATTTTGTACACGTTTCACTTTTGTTATCCACTGACACTAAAGCTTCGTTTTCTTAGAACCAAATTTTTTATTATTTTCCTTGTTATACTCGGCAAACTTAGACTTCAAGTGCTATTTCGCTCTATTTTTTTCTCCAAACTTCAACTTCAGCACGAATTCGGTTCTCTTCGTGATCCTTCCTTTTTCACTCTTAAGGGAAAACTGCAATGGTGCTGAGTTCAGCCCGTTTGCACTCAGCACCATAACTAGGATCTGGCATAATGCGCACCAGCGAAACGATTCTTAGTATTTCAATATATCTAGTAAAAAATTTTGTCCTGTGCGCCAGTGACCATAGCTACGACCTATCTACATTGACTAATTATTTTTCCCAGAGCAAACTATTACATTACTGTCGTTCTTCCACATCTACTGATATTTCAATAGCCAATATGGTGGACTTTTTAGGAAATATTATCATTTTTATCACTGGCTTTCACAAGTTCATATCATACAGTCTAGATTGATGAGGAAAAAAAAAACAAAGATTGAACATGACATTACTGCCAAAATAAGTTATCGGAAAATATTTCTGCTTCAGGATGACATCTATTACTAAACCTGCTGATAATCCGAGTGGTCAGCAAATCCATTTGACACATTCTTGACAAAAAGTAACTATAACAGACCATTATTGAGAGAAAATTAGTTCTGTTTTTTTCCTATAAGGAACAATCACATTGAAATATAAAATACTGAAAAATCTTTTCGTTGTCCATTTACCTAAAAAATTTTAATCGTCCTAAAGTCGGAAATTCTTTCTTTGTATTAACATTATCCACGGCATTTTCTTTTTGTAAAACTGATTTAAAGATAATATCACGAGGCAAATTTTGTAAAGAAAGAAGGAAAATCATCAAAACTATTACCACTACAGCTCTGTTTACTATATCAGCACTGACCAACTTTAGAATAGATTAGAAAGTGTGTCATAAATATAAATTTTGAAAGCTCTAATTATTTATCTTAGAAGTAAAAATAAGGAAGAAAAACTTTCAGAATTTAATATTTACTTTTTCAATAAGCACAAACTAGTAAGGTTTTAAAATTTTGTTATTTTTAATGAGAACATCTTATACGTTTCTCTTCTTCCCTCCAGGGCCGGATGCAATAGGTGCGAGGCCCGATTAATTTTTTTTTTTTTTTTTTGCGAGGCCCCTCAAACTCTTATGTATTTACTTACAAGCATTCAGATTTTTGAAATACAAAAAAAAATTATAATTTTTAAATAATGTTTTCTCACTATTTATTTCAGAAGTTTGTACATGTATGTTAAATAACAATGTAACTACTATTCTATCATTTTAAGAAATTATTTTTAAAGTAGAATACTTTTAAAAATAATTTATTAAAATGCAGAATGATGCAAAATGTATAATATATACAGGCATGGGCTCACTTTTTATTATGTGGTCAGCTATAAGTCATGTAATATGATCTGTGTGTGTGTTTGTGTGCCATTTAATTGAATGTACACACAAATTCATTTCTTTACTCATGGCAAATGAATGTTAACACATTTGTTGTGTGCACTCACACATTTCAAGAATATCCTTTTGAGATGTCTGTTTGGTATGGAAACTTTTGAATCACTCTGTAAGAACACTAATGAACACAAGTTGATTTCCATAAATCTATAAATGAGAAACTCTTGACATTATATACTATATCCTATTTACATTTCAAAAAGTTATAAAAAATTAAATAATTCAAAAAGTTATAAAAAGTGAAATATAAAAGCATAATTCACGTTGTATAATGCAAAATCAAAAAAATATATTTTAATATAAGAAATATAAGATAATGATGTGTAATATAATATGTAGTATTCTCATATTCTCTTGTAATATAAAAATTATTGTTTGCTAAATAAATATTATATTATAAACTTCACTTTTTGTATCATTCTGAAAAAAAGAAATAAATAAAAGTTTCATGACAAAATTAATACACACAATTAAGACATTTGTCTATTTCTTGAAATACATAAATTTTAATTGGCCAGATTGTCATATAATAAATATTTATCTGTTGCTTTGTGAGCGGTCCACATTTAAGGAT